TGTCATTACAGGTGGACTACAAAATTATTATTTTTGTTTAATTTTTTTTTTTTTTTTGAGTTACTAGTGGACACATTGTTTTTTACTATGTAACCCATTTATGTTTTCACCCATTTATCTTTTCACCGTTTAGCCTTTGTGTTACTTGAGCTTGCAATTTTCCCCAACCATAATTTCCCGTTGTATGCAATTTCGCTTCTGCTTACCCTTTCGCCATTAAAGTTTGTACTTCCTTCAATTTCACTTTGCTTTGTTTCAGCTTCAAGGTTGGAATGTCTTCTTCATCTGTTAAATCGCGAATTAGAAATTTTTGTGGGTGTTAGGTTCGTATGGTTTCTTATCAATGCAAGAAAGGGCTTAATAAAGGAAGGTGGTTTCGGAGATATCCCTTCTGGAGGACTCATGACACATGAGATTTGTTCATATGGGATGAAGATTCTTGAGCAAAATCTGCAAATGAAGATGCAAGCTTGATGAACTCATAGGTTGAAGTTATGGCCTCTATGGGCTATATGAAGGAGTTGAATGAAGAGTAGAGGAAGAAGAATAAGATTTTGAAGAACAAATTGAAAGATGAGAAATTTAATGAAAATATGAAAATGTTGTGTATTTCCATGTCTGTAATGGTTAATGTTTATTTTTTTCTGAAATGTAATTATTGAGAGTTTGTACTATGTTGAGAGTTTGTATTATGTTTAGAGTTTGAGCAGTTGGTGTTTTAACATTTTGTCATGAAATTTAATGTAAGTTTGAAGAATGTTGAAATGTAATGTAATTTTTAACAATGTTGAAATGTAATGAATAATTTGGTATATTCATGAAATATTGAACCATTTTGAGGCATACTTGGCAAGCACTTAATTGGCATGATAGTACAAAAATGCATAATTGGCAAGTCCTTATTGTCAATTAATAAGCACTTAATTTGGCACTTAATTTGACAAGTCTTTCTAGTACCAAAATGTCATGACAGTAAAAAAATGCTTAATAGGCATAATTGACAGCTAACATCGGTGCATACATTGGCATGACATTTTGACAATATGACATTTTTCGCACAATTTGGTATAAGTTGTTATGACAGTATGAGTTAGTAATTTTTTCATTGGCATAATTTGGTAGATATCAAACCACATTAAATGTACATAAAACCACATTAAAACCATAACTCGTCATTGGCATTAAAACCACAATAAAGGTACATAATTTGTCATTAGTATTTAAACCACATAACATCGAAAAGTACATAAGTTCCAAATGATACACAAGTAACATGATTAGTTTGACAGTACATAGAAGAAAAAGTTACATAACAATAAACAGTTTGATATTGTTAGAACAAAGTTTGAATCTACTACCCTAAGTTTAAGTTTTGATGATAACAAAATGAAATGATATATTAATTATGTGATTCATGTAAGAACTATTTGCTACCTAAAAATTACTTTATGTTTTACAGAAACTCTGATGGGTATCAGCAAGAGTACATCATAATCAGCATCAGAATATTGGATATCAACATCAACATCAGAAGATGTTATATCAGATACCAGAATCAGAAGAACAACTCATGCTTATGCTGAAGCTTGATGAACAGATCTGCGCTCAACACTCTGACCTCTGATAAAGACAACAACAGTTCATCAGCACTTAAGCAGCGTCAGAATGAGCCAAAGCCAAAACATGCTTAAGTAGCAACGACACTGTGCATTCAAGACGAGTTATTACCAACGACATCATTCCAGACAAGATCTTCTTAATAAGGAAAGATTGTTATTGGCATTGAATCAGAATTATTGCTCCAACGTTCAAATTCCAATGCTATATAAACAAGTCAATGAAGAATGAATTGGCTAATGCTCTACAACAATCTCCACGCCTAAAAGCTATTCATAATCCTTCGTACTCTCAGTTTGCTAAAAGCTCCAAATTTCCTTACTCAATTATTTTAGCAATCTAGTTTCCATAAGCTTAAGTTGTGTAGTATCACAGTTGTGATAAACAGTTTTGTAGAAAACATTCACACACCTAGATTTCAATTCTGTGTAAGAAAGTAATTCCTTGAGAAACCGGTTTGTGGTTTGCATCAAGAAGGCTTTAACAGTTGTTAAAGCAGATTGTAATATTCAGTTGAATATAGTGGATTAAGACCTCGTTGGAGAGAGGCGAAATCACATTGACGGATGGACTGGAGTAGTTTGAGATCAAATGAACCAGGATAAAAATATCGTGTTCATTGCAATTGATTTTCAGTTTTACAATTCAACCCCCCTTCTTGTGTTTTTCACTTCTTCAGATATAACATAACAACAAAAAGGATCATGTTCCATTATAGCCATTCATTGAGTGAAGCCCTTATGAATGTCATCCCAAATATTCTTTCCCTTTCCACTAGCATGTTGTCTTACAGTAACAACAGATTTTGCATGATTAGTATCAATTCTAACTGGCCCAATGTCTAGTATCACATCATCATTCAACTCATCATTCAAAAATACTAATAATGTTTCAGGATCAATCTCACAATACTTTCTCATAGCCTCATCTGAACTAACAAAAACTTGTGAAATTCTGGAAGCAGCTAGTGAAGTTTGGGCATATGGACGAGTTTGAGTAGTTGGACCATTTTAATCAGTTGGTATAGTTTGAGCAGTTGCTATCAGTTGAGCAGCTGGTCCAATTTTAGCAATTGGTCCAGTTTGAGAAGCTAGTGCAGAATCCTGAGCAGACATTTGAGTAGCTGCTTGTACCATTTTTGTTTGGGTATAGCATTTAACGATTCATAAGCATATACATTCACCTTATTAATTTGAAACATCTTAGCTTCATGTTCTTAATAGTAGGTTTCCTTTGTTGCAGGCATCATGAGATCTCCGAAAAGTGTACCACCTCCAAACTTCTTCTTGAAGTTAGCATATAAATGCCTCAGGAAAAACCTGTGTTAAAATTCAGGATATTCTTCCTAAAATACTAGCCCTAGTCCCTATACACATAATAACAAAAAACATTAGTAAACTAAAATGATAGGCAACAACAATAACCAACAATGGACCATTATACATACCTTTTATTGATCAGATATGAAGCACAATCTACCTTCACCACCAATTTCATCAAGAAGTAACATGACAAACCAACTCCAAGAGTAACTGGTTTCATTCTCTACAACCCCAAAAGCAATAGGAAGATACTGATCATTGGCATCCCTCTCAACAGTTATCAATACAATAGTGCCATATTTGTTCTTTAGGTGACAACCATATAATCATATAAATGGTCTACATGCCAATTTCAAAGCTTTCTTTGTCCCATCAAAGCATATGTAACACCTTTCAAACCTTGATTGCAATCCAGGTGTTGGTCCTCCAATGTTTAACTTGAATGTGTTTCCCTGATATTTATGTCCTTCAACAACTTGTCTAGCTAGTTTCCTAGCTTTGAAAGCCCTACATCCAGTGATTTATGTAGCAAACCTCAATGTAACATCTGCTACCACTTCATTTAACTTCATGTTTGTATTGTTCTTCAATTTGTCAACGATCACTCTAGCAATCCAATCGACATTAGCATTCTTATTATAGAACTTTCTTTCACATTTGTGTTTATGCAACAAAGTTTTGATCCAAAATGTTGTAATTCTTAAAATTCTGCTGTATAGGACAGTGTAGTTACACTTCTTATTATGCTTACAAACAACCCTACGTTTATTCCCATCATTTTTGACATACCTTAACTCCCTACCATTCAACACATTATGTTCCAATATAGCCTTCTTAAATTGTTTCAGTGATGACAATTCTGTTCCCACCTTGAATGAGAACTCCTTTATAAGTTTTTCCTCCTCATTGAACCTAAACATTGCAGCGCTATCATCACAACTATGTTCATCTGCCTAGCTATCAAGTTGATCAGACATATAATCTTCTTTTATGACATGTGCCCTATTGTGGTAAACTTGCATTGATGAAAGGTAGCATTACCCTTTAACTCTTCATCAACATTATCCCTTAAGCCTTCATCAACATTACCCCTTACAATAATGTGAGGCAGATGAAAAATTAAAGCGACATGGGGTTATTAAGATAGTAACAAATTTGAATTTCACCAAACAACTTAAATAGACATCCCAAGTAGGACTAACCTGGGACTAAAATTTTACAGAAACCTGATAATCTTCGAGTACAAAAAAAGAATCAGGGACCACAACTTCAAATTTGAGAAATTTGTAATGTTGTTGGGAGATTTGCATTTACGATGGAGAAGAACGTTGTAATGAGACTGAACTAAGAAATTTGAGACTTAAGGGTTTTTCGTTTTGTTAAGCTACAATAACGAGTTAAACAAGAATAAAAACAATTTAACAAAAAAAATTTAGTCCACCTGTAATGACATATCATTTACTGTTAGTAGTATTTAATATTGGAGACTAATAATGTGGATAAAAAAAATTATAAAGACCAATCTTTAAAGAAAAATCTTATAGGAATTAAAATTGAAAATCATTATATTTATAAGGACCAATAACATATTTAACTCTAAAAAAATTACCGAATATAAAAGAATAAATAACATTATAAACACATAATAATAAATAATAGTAATAAATAATAATAATAATAATAATAATAATAATAATAATAATAATAATAATAATAATAATAATAATAATAATATAATATATAAAGTTATTTATTTAAACAAAACAGAAAGACTTTTATACATCTATGTATCCAAGGGTATACTAGTACAAAATAGAAAATTGTAGTAATACAAGAGGAAAACCAACTTAACACTATCTATAGTTCCTATAGTTGACCCTTTTGAGAAAAGTGTCATGAACTGACAATGTACAACATTTGTTTAACCTTTGTACAAACAAAAACCCATCAAAAACTACATCACAATAATTGTCAACATAACCCACCATGCTTTCACCATCCTTTTTTATACAAAACAAAAACTCATTATCTCCACTATACAACATGATCAATCACTCTCTTTCACAAGCCTGCATCAAACGGCACACCACTACCAGAAATCCAAGATTCACCAGCTAAAAAGTTACTAACAGAAAATTTAACTGCTTCAGAAGGATTTGTGATAACATGAAAACCAGGCCAATTCACTCTCCCATTTGTATTAGCACCATCACCAACATTCATATATTCACCATAATAAAGTGTGCTCAAAGCAAAACCACCACTCCATGGAGCCCAACCTTGTGAGTCTATAACTCCATCAATGTTACTTTTCATGACTACCGTTCTTGAATACTTCTGCCACGGTCTACCCAGATAACTTTTCACTGAATTCTGACTTGGTTTCAAATCACCCGCGGCGGTTATTCGGCAGTTATGGATCACTATTCCGGTGTTCTCGTTTGGATCTGTTCTTCCTTGTGCCGTTACGGTGTTCTGTTGGTTGCTCATCGGTTTTCTAACTAAGATGTTGCAGTTTTGAAGAACAGTCACTGCGTTACCGAAGATGAAATCGACTGTTCCGTAGATGTTACAGTCGCGGTAGAATTGACGGGTGGCGTAAACATATAGAGTGTCTTGGTAGCCTTTGAAGGAGCAGCGGTAGAAAACCGAGTGATCGGCGCCGGAACGGAGAGCCACCGCTTGGTGCTTCTGTGGTCCGGCAGTGTTCTCGAACGTCATATCTTTTGCTATGAAACCATCTCCCATTACCGCTGTTTTCAGATTAAATATATAATGAACTCTTTATCTGTCACTGTCTTATATTTGTGTACATAGTGATTCACTTAATTCAAAACTGTTTTTATAATTTATATTTAGATAATGATTGACGATTAAATAACTTACCAAAAGTAGCTGAACGAAAAGTGGTAGAACCATCTTGAGTGTTATGATTACCGGTAACAATTGTTGAATCCATTCCATCTCCAAATATCATTATGTTCTTCACTGTCTTTTTTATATCAATGTTCTCTTTGTATACTCCTGCTTTCACATGAATAACGACTCTTCCTTTTCCACTAAGCTTAGAAGCAGCGGCTACACCTTCTGAGATTGTCTTATAGTTCCCACTTCCATCTTGTGCCACCACAATATCAGCACTCGGTGTTACTTGAAGAAGCTTTCTATCGGAACCTGAAAGCCAATGTGGAAATCCATCTGATAACAATCTTCTCCCTCCATTTTGTTTCATGCTTGGGATGGAGGCTAGAGTGTTGCTAATGGACAAGGAGTTGCTAAGCAATTTAGTAAAGTTGGTTAAGATGGAGGGGAAGTAGTTTAAGTGAGAGGGAAGGTTGAAATCAATGAAACCATTTTGACAAGTTTCATGATTGGTAATGGAAGCACTTTGCCATGTTAATTTGTCATTTAAGTTTTTTGAGTTTATGGAGCGATTAAGTTGATAAATTGTATCCTCATAAAGCTCAACACAATCTTCCCATGCTGACTTGGCTCTATTGTCTTTGAAATTATTCAAATCCATGGTTGACACAAGTTTGTATGCTTCAATAGCCTGGTCCATGGTAACCTTAATGGAAATATCATGGAATGAAGAAGAATCTAGGGTTGATAGTGTATTAGTAGTTCCAATGTAATGGTTGCAAACATGAGGGTATGGTGTTTGATTGCATGATAATTCTTTAGCATGAACAAACAAGGGAGAAAAAAAGAGAAAGCATGCAATGAAACAATTGAATAAGAGTTTATCCATATGATTAGAAAATGGAGTTTGCATGAGAAGAGCTAAGTGTATAGGAATAATGGACGAGAGGAATTGGTTTATGAATGAAAATAAAGTGCAAAGGAATTGAGATATATATAGCTAAAATGATTTGGCTTTTGGTAGGCCATAAATTTATACTAATATGTGGGTGTAGAAGCTTAGGATAAAGAAGTACATATTATACAGCAAGGATTTATCTACTTACATTTCTCAAAGTTTTTGGTCATGCTTTGTAATGGCCATGACATCAAAATTAATGTTCAAATATCCACAAAATACATGTTAGTTATAATTTTAATTAAAAATATTTATTAATTGTATTATTTATTATTTACATTAAAATATTTAGAATCTAATAATACTTAATGAAATAGTGCGAGTCTCTATCAATTTAGTAGAAATTTTTGTATTGGAATTTAATATATATTAATTTTTTTTAATTTATCGTCTATTATAGTTTTTTATTGATCAAAGAACTCGTCTCACATTTTTTTATACATATTAGCTTTTACTAATATTAATTATTTAAATTGAGTTAAATCAGAGGTAAGAAAAATGAATCTTCTCATATTCTTATTAAATTTTTTTAAAAAAAAATCATAATAGTTTCTAGAATTTGTTTAGTTGGGGTTCAAGCTAAGCCACTCATTTGGGTACTTTTCATTTATTGATTTTGTTACTCAAACAAAATTATATCTTTATGTAAATTTTAATTTTAAATTATGTTTGTGTTTTAGATATCCGCATCTATCGAATTTATATGGTACAAATATTTCTCAATAAAACTATAATTAATTATGGATCATGCATAGGGTTCTTTCCATTCACTTTTATGACATTAATCAATCATCTAAATAACAATTGGATAATGGCATAATGTTATCACCTCAGAGTTGGCTCCCCCTCATTGATTTTGATAGTACGTGTAATTTCTTCCACTAATCTTCTATATCAAAATGAACAATATTTAATTTCTTTCAAATCATTTTACGATGACTATCATATTGTTAGGAATTTCTCGATGGAGCTTTATAACTTCGAAATTTACACACCTCTATACTCTAAATCTTTTTTTATTTATTTTCGGTAATATATTCTTTTCCAATAAATGTTAAAATAAATTAAAGAGAGATGTATTGAATAAAGTTATTGATAATCGAGTAGAGATTATCGAATGTCACTTGTTTGTTTTGTTGAATGATAATCATTAATTTAAATGTTGTAATCAATTAATACATGGGCGTAATTGGTTATAAGTGGAAGAAAATTATTTTTGAAGTTTAAAAAAAAAAGTTGATTTGTATTACTTGGTTACACTTGACATTAGATATTTTTATGTTTGTTTGTGTAACCGGTTAACCATATATGTTATCTAATTACAGGCCCGTGTGCTTTTTCTTGTATTTTAAGAAAGTGTTTTAGGTCTCAATTGTTGTAATATTCTTTCTCCAATTATCTTCTCTCTTACTCTCCCTTTCTCTATATACTCCATTGTTCATCAATTGTGTGATTGTATGTTCCAACATGCACTACTACAAAAAAGAGCTTTAACAACGGTTGGATTAGATATATAATCAAATATATCTAGGCGTTTTTATGTAGCGTGTTGTTGTATATGTGTTACTTTCAATCACGGTCCAGTGACCGTTGTAATAAATTGAATAATGCACGCCCTATAACAACGGTTAAGAGTAATAACTATTGTGATAATGTTTATGAATAAATTTCAAATGTATCAAAACAAAGTTAGCAATACACCATTTGTAAAGAAAAGGAAATGTGATTTGAAAAGACAAGGAGATGTAATCATTCAACAACTCGAGGTAGGCAGAAATATTTCCAACTTTCAAGAGAAGGTAAAGCGTATAGAATTAAAGAACCAATAATGAGCACAATATCTTGACATGTGTGAAATCTTCCAACTTCTAAGAGAAGATGAAGAATCAGAAGAAACAATAGAAAAGCATAATAACACAAACCCAACTTCATCCAAAGGAATCAGAATGAGTTCTCCTGCTCAAGCTACCAACAATATTGAGAATCAAGATATTATTGATGTGGTACAAAACCATCCTCAGAATCAAGATGAGAAAAGAAGTCGGTGTTATGCAACAGAGCTGTACTTGAGAGCTCTCAGGGTGAGGAAAAGAAGAAGAAGAAGAAGAAGAAGAAGAAGAAGAAGAAGAAGAAGAAGAAGAAAAAGAAGGCTGAGAAGACAAATAGTTTTTTTCTCATCTGATGATGATGATGATAACTATGATTGGTCAAACTTCCTCTCAGCTAGAGGATTTAGATTTAATTAAGTTTATGTAATGAAAGCTTGTATAATGAAAGTTTATATATAGTGAAAGGTTATCAACTTAAATCTAACAAACAAATAATTAATTGAAAATTCAACACTTTGCGATGAACTTACTCGTAAGAAATCGTCTTTTAGTTGCATTCCTGTCAAGTTCAATGCATATGCGGTTTCAACATCAACAATGGAATTCAACTATTACATTTCAATTAATATACTAAAAAAACAGATAACTAATTGGAACTTTAACTATTACATTTCATAACAAAGTAAACATTAAACATAAAGGAGACAAGAAAACATAACATCTTCAAATTTTCAGATAATCTCTCTGATTTGAGTTTGTTCTTCAAATTCTTGTTCTTCTTCTTTGAATCTTCATACATAACCTTCAAAATGGACATCTCAAACTCTAACTTCATAATGCTCTCATCTTTATTTTCACGTTTTTCTCCCATGTCTTCATCCCATATGAACAAATTACAGGTTTCATTACTTATCTAAAATGGACATCTCCAAAAAAACTTTCTTTATTTAGTCCATTCTTGCATTGGTACAAAACATACGACCATCATAACCATAAAAATTTCTAGATCGAGATTTTACAGAAGAAGAAGACATAAAAACACCTTTTGATGACTTTATCTTCAAATGCTACATTAAAAGGAAAATAAATAACAATTTCGAAATTAGTTTACGTACCGTAAAGGAGAGTACTGCGTCGGTGTTGTTGTCTTCCTTCCTGACGATGACGACGACATTTGTGTTAGGGTTGTTTCTTCTTGTTTCTTTTTCCAGTAGAAAAATGGATACTTAGTGTTTAAAATATATAAAGAAGCGTGTGTGTTTAACAACGGTTTTAAAAAACAACTGTAGTGATATCCCTGTATTTTTTAGTTACATATAAATAAAAATGAAAAGACGCGCATTAATGTCAAAGTAATAAACTATTTGAGGGCGATGAGGTTCGAACCCATGAAAGCTTTATTGTATCACCACAATGTTAACATTAACCGTTATTATACCCTTAAAATTTTTATTCTAAAATATATAAAAAATGTTAGTGCAAGAGTTTAGACATGTCACCATGGTGTTTGGGAAAACTGTGATGACTTTGGCGTTGTTATATGCGCGGTTTGTAGTAGTGATGTTTGAGATGACAAATGATGAATCTTGAACTTGATGTTGATGATATCATATTTGAAGCTACTAATGAACTATTGCGCAAGGAATTTTTTGAAATAATGCAGATCGAATTCAAAATGTTCATGATAGGACAACTAAAATATTTTCTAGGATTTCAAATCCATCAAACAAAAGGAGGAACTTTTATAAATCAAACTAAATACTGCAAACAACTACTAAAAAGATTTGATATGCAAAAGTCCAAAATATTAGCAACGCCAATGTCAACATCATGCTCCCTAGACAAAGACGAAGACATAAAACTTGTTGATGAAATAAAATATCGAGGTATGATTTGATCTCTTATTTATCTAACTAAATCTCGTGCTTACATAATGTTTGATGTCTGTATGTGAGAACAATATCAAACATCCCCAAAAGAATCACCTCTGAACATTGTCAAGCGTATTATGAGATATCTCACCGACACACAATAAACGGATTTGTAGTACCCCAAAGGTGAAAATTGTGACTTAGTTGGGTACTCCGAATCTAATTTCTTTTGGGTGAAGATTGGATAGAAAAAGTTGTAGTGGTACGTGTCACTTACTTGAGAACTCACATGTCTCATGGCGTAGCAAGAAACAAACAAGTGTAGTGTTATCGACAGCTGAGGCAGAATACACTTATGCGAGAAGCTATTGCGTTCAAATCATTTGGATGAAATAACAACTCAGTGAATACGGTCTCAATATTAGAGTTGTACCAATAAGATGCGATAATACAAGTGCCATAAATCTCACAAAAAACTCTATACTCCATTCTCGGACTAAACACATTGACGCCAGACCCACTTTATTAGAGATCGTGTTGAAAAAGGGGATTGTGTGCTTGATTTTACGGACTCATATAATCAACTCGCATATATTTTTACCAAACCGCTCCCAAAAAACAACTTCTTTTTCTTAAGAACTAAACTAGGAATTTTTAACCAATCATGCATGAACTAATAGATGTGAATCTATGTGCTTATGTTTGCATATCTTAGCTAATAAACCTTTTTGATTTCGATAAAGGGAGATAAGTATACTCTCAGGGGGAGTAGGGTATATTTTCTATGAGACGGGGGGAGTACTAAGAAAACTCAACCATGCACTTGAAACATCTTTGAAAAACATTTCTAGCCGAAAAACAAGTAATTAAAAAGTTGTCCAATTTTTTACTATCTAATCGATTGGAAAGATATGCCAATTGATTGACACAATTTTTTTGACCAGCAAATCGATTGGATCACTATGCCAATCGATTAGAAGAGTGTTAATCGATTGCAAAATCAATAAGGACGACACATTGAATTCTTGTAATGGATCTATATTGTTGTACCCCAAAATTTTCCCTCTCTTTTCTGAAGACGTTTAACAAAAGATCTTCAATGCTCAAGGATTCTCAAGGAATTGACCAAACAAAATCACCTTCGAAACACTGAGACCATATATTAGGGTTTTGACTAAGAATGACTGATCACTGACCTTTGACCTAATACATGACTTAAAGGCTTGAAGCA